TGTAACTGGTCTAAGGGACCACACAGACATGTTTTAGATAAAGACAGACAAATTAGACGACAGCGTCTTAGGCTAACCACTGCGCTTGCGCTAATTACAGGCTGGCCGGCGATGAAAGAGACAGATGACATGTACTTATTTGTTTTCTCCTCCAGTGCCCTGAACCAAGTAAACACAGCAATGACGGCAAAAGTAGGTGGTACAAAGAAAAAGACACGCAGACAACACGGATAGATAACATGGTTGTGGTATGTGAGTTCCATCCACCACACACAGGTGTGTGCCCACCACTGCAGTGAGAAAACCCCTGAGGTAAAGAGAAACAATGGCGCAGCCAGCAAAACTTTTGGCTGGCAACTCATGCCAAGGAAAACAGACTGAGCTAGCCCTGTCTGTACTGCTTACAAAACAGCACCACTGTTGTAGGGGTGATGTAAAGGCAAATGTGGGGCTGCTGTCTGGGCGATCTGATTAACCTGTCACCTCGGGTTGCAACTTACATCACACAGGCCTGGTTGACAACCTGCCCAGACCTCCCGGCCGCCAACCAGTACATTGGTTTGTGATGCCAGCCCATAACACCACCAAACCTTGCTTAAACCTGCTTATTGACAGCTTAATGCCACGTTCTCTTAACTGGACCTCTAGTTTCCATAACCCATCTACATAACAGCTAGTCAGATTCCACACAATAAATAATGGAATGACATATTGCCTACATTTGAAAATTTCAGAAAAGCTTTGCTAGGAATCTATGGGAACCTGTGCCACACCAATCCTTGGGTGTATAAAGAGAGTGAGCTGTCTATGGCATGATAGGAAACCCTGCAGTATGGCGCCTCCATTTTCTTTGGCTTTAAGGAGGTCACTGACCAAATTAGACAAGGCTGTGGTTTGCCCATCTTTATTGTGGATACGACACTGACAATCTTTCCAATCCCATCTGGGACAGGGGACCTTCATTGTCTCCTAACACCCTGCCCCACCCTAGTGCAGGAATCAGGGTGGGGTTTGTCAGGATAGCACAAAGAAAATGTCACCACTCCTGGAATTAAGTGCCAGCCAACGAAGGTCCTCCTTTTTCTCTGTCTCTATGCATCTCCACAGGGGTGCAACTGGTAGCTGACATCACTAGAGGGGTCATCCCTGGCTGGGCACAGCCACGGCTCTCTGGCCCTTGCTGGCCCCCAGTGACCCTTGTTTTTGATGACAGACTGGGCCTTTTGTGTAGCAGCGCCCTGTCCAGGTGAGGAGAGAGGGTGACAATGGCAGGAAACAAAGCCGATAGATGCTGGGAGACGGCCCTACAGGGTCATGGGTCAATCTGGACAGCTGAGTGATGAGTGCAGCTGTGGACACGTGGACCTCCTTGTCTGGCCTTTAGCTCTGCTTGCTATGTCAGCTGATGTTGCCTTTGTTTTGGGATAAAGACCTCACTAACTCTCAACAAGTTAGAGAAAAGTAATAAACACAGGCAACAGATGTACTACGCCATAGATTCAGAGTGTACAGCTATTATAGTGACACCCCAACCTATATGGTGTGGGTCAACTATGTCTTTTCAAATGGTAACTGGAATGGAATTAGATAATAAAAGGACTTTTGACTTTAATGAATTATACATTTTAATGGTTGCTATTTTAGATGAAAATTGTCAGTTCAAAAAATAATCCAAAATAAAAACAAATGTTTAAACTACATGGAAATAAAAGGAACTAGATTCTCTCTCATGGATAGACTAACTTTATGTATTATTTAAAAACACAAACTTGCAAAGAGAGAGAAAAAGCCCTTACATATGTTTATTTGTGCAGTACAATATAACATACAGTGTTTCAGTAGTACAGGTGAATATGATGCATTTCCAACCCCAGCTGCCACCGCTGCAGAATTAGCTGGCTCTCCCTTGTCACTTAGTATAAACCCAAAATACTGTAAAACTGCTGAAGTTGAACTCTTTTTAGTAACTAACTGTCTGTGACACAAACGAAAAGGACTATTCTAAACCTAGCTATGTGTTACCACCCAAGCCCATTAAACAATGAACATACAAGTGTCTACAAACTACAGCAATTCACACATCCTGAGCTGTCCAACTGTTTCCAATGCCAAAGGTCAATGGCTGCCTACTCTCCTACCGGCCCACACTGAGAGATGGGAGGACGGGGTTTGCCAAGTCATTCACAAACCCTGCTTTGGGTCATAAACACCTCCGCCTGTCTCTCCTCTTCTTTTCTCCTCCACAGAGGTGAGTTGGGTTTGCACTCTGTTAATCTTTCACTACAGGCCTGCTTGCTTTTACACTGGCCCGCTGGAGAACAGAAGAGGGGAATGAAAGAGGGGTAGTAAAGGACGAGAGTGGATAAAAGAGCAGGAAGAAAAAGCCATAGAGAGGGCCAGATGGGCACCTTCACAGTCCATTTATCAAACCCAATGTGGCCCTCCCCTCCCCTCCCCGCTGCTCTCATGTCCTAAACCCCCATGTAATTCTGTAATGATTTTCATTATCATATAATGACCTTACAAAGCCTACAGCAGTTTGCATGGTCAGTACAAAACTCGCAGCTGTTCCCTTCAGTGTTTGCTCGCCGGCTGTGACAAAGCTTTTTTTGTTTTTTTTCTGATGGTCAGAGCAGTGACCTCTAGGTGCTGCAAGGTCACCATGAGGTCACCCCATCCAGGGGGTTCAAAGCTAGCCATACTGTAATCATACAGAATCGAGAGAGCATCACACCAAGTAAATACTGTAAGTAAATTAAAATATAACACTTTTGAAAACAAAACTACAGAACACTGTTGGATTTTGTGTGCGTGTACTCCTTCTTTACCTGTATTTGCATAGACATGAAACAAGATTTATGCATTTTCAAAACCTAATAATTCTAGTACCATCTCTATAGTTCTGGTGCAACTAGGATGTGCCATTTCCTATCCTAATAGACCTGTTCCCTGGAGGTTGTGCCTTGCTCTTCAATCTGCCCTTCCTGTGTGGCATACACAACTGCTCTGCTACAATACAGTCACCCACCCACATAATAATCCATCTATTTTCAGGGCACTCACAGGGCATTTACCAAAGGGACACGGAGGGCAGCATCTATCAAAGAATTCACCATGTGCATCTGGAAAACCCAGTTACCAGAAAAGCTCATAAGAATAAAAAAGCTCTCATAACTTTGTTGGCTCAGAGTGAATGAATGGACTGCTCCTGCTAGCGAGGCGAGGAGGGGCATCACTCACTCTGAGTGCCTATAAGTCACTTGTGAAGAACCACTGGTCACCAAGTCCAATTTCTCTTTCTTTCCTTCTTGCTAGCACTAAAAATGCCCTGGAGGCAGAAAATGGCAGCTAGCAGGCCCACGTTCCACTGCTGCTTTAACTGGTGTTTAAGAAACAAAAGTCAGCGAGAAACTTAATCAATCAGTGCTGGTTGTTTATGTTTATGTGCCTCTAGCAAGAGTCATCAATCATGCTTTTCCCCCTTTTTTCAATCCTTTTGCAAACATTATGTGCTGAATGGAAACCATGAAAACAAAAGGCAGTATTATGATAAAAGCCTGCCTGTTGCATATTGTGTGAAAACCTAATTAGGATGCCCAATAAAAAAAAAGCAGCAAAATGAATCAGCAAATTAATTTCAAAAATCCTCTTTTGGTGAGTGCTTTTATGGAAACAAATGGAGGTTTGAATACATCCGACTGAAGTGAACTAAATTCTCTCATTGTGTGTCTGTAATATACTTCCCTTGTCTCTTAGTAGTATGCATTAAGAATACATACTTTTTCTTCCTCCACAAAGAACAAGCACGGTTTAACTCTCATCAGCTGCGAATCTCTAATCAGTACCAGTACGTCTCACTTAACATTGCACATAGCCATGTGTTTAGTTTTGTGTAAATGAGATCTGCTGACAGCCACTTGACAGGATGACCCCTGGCTTTTTTGTAAGTGGGGGCGGTGGGGGTTAGGGATAGACATTTATGTGTGTAAAGGGAAGAGGAGGAATCAGGAGCAGCTGGAGTTCAAACATATTGTGTGAGACGCTCGCCCTCCTCCAAAACTAATCTAATCAGTCTTTCACTGCTGATAGAGTAAACGGCTATCTGCCCTGCCGACAAGGACCGAGCATTTCCTGTCCTGGTCTGTGATACTGGTTGTCAGGATCTTAGGGTGGGCTAAGCTAAGTCTAGGGTTAGAAGGTGGTAACATTGCATTGTGGGTGGTGGGGGAACCACAATGGTGGGAGACAGTGCTGATGTTAGTTTGGGGGTGGGTGTGGTGAGATGGTTTCTAGCTTTCAGCACCTGAAGCTGGAATGCACTATCAGAGCAGGCCCTACATCAGAGTTGTGAGGCGGTGGCCGTCGACACAGCAAATGAAGGTGTGTGGAAACAGCCTGTTTACAAGGGTCATCTGGATGGGGCATACCTAAGGGTCAACTTGGGGGGGGGGAACTCAAAACAGAGGGGGAGCATGGAAAGATGAGGGAAACAACACAAGTTGTGCAGTAAGTTAACATATATCTTTCAAAAGAAAAGCTGTTACTTTCAGGAATTTGTCAGTGGATACTGCCCCTGGCAATTTTGGTTTCTCTAGGCTCTGGATCATGTCTGGTCCAACGTGTGTATTTGTGTGTATGTGTGTGTGTGACACTGATGGATGCGCCAATGGAAAGACGGACAGATGCTTGGGCGGATCTAACGGCATGCAGTGGTGGAGCGGCGCACACAGTCGCGGCGAGATTAGGGCGAAAACATCCTCGATCGGCGGAGAGTCACCAATCACCAATCCTTCCACCGAGCCCGGTGAACGGAGGAGGAACGGACAGACTCACCGGTCTACCCGAGGAGCGACGCGGGGAGAATCTGATTCCCTCTGCGGATCCGACGAAGAAAGCGGTTTCTCCGGCTATTGACGAGCGTGAGAGAAGAGGCGCAGCAGCACCACATCTGGCGCAAAGGAAGACAGGAGGAGAGAGAAAGACAGCCTTTGGCAACTCACCCTTTATTGCTCTCCCTTGTTCTTCCGTTCCCTCTTCAAGAGTCCTGTATCCTTTGTTTTCACCGCCGTGAAGCCACGCGTCCCGCCCTGAGGATTGCCTGAAAAAACACAGGAGATTATTTTTATCCACTTCACCAACTCAGTTGAATCCAAAAACTTTTATTCCTCACTGTTGAGGCGAAACATTGCGAGAAAGGGGAGCAGCGGCCTCTTCAGAAAATATCTGAACAACCTACATCTCAACTGAGGAGGATTGTGAGCTTACCTGCAAAGAAAAAAAGTACTTTATTCCATTCGGTGCCAATAAAAGGGACAGCGCTTGGTGAGGGGTTTTGCGCCTCTCCGGTCACTTGAGGCGCAGGAAGGAGAGCGGAGCGCAGTGTTGGGAGACACGTCTGATTCGCTGCGTGGCTGATTTAAATAGCTCCTATCAGGCCACGGAACGAAAAAAAACTGGAGAAAAGTACCATCAGCGGCCAACAAAGTGTTTGGCAGTGGGCGCTAGAGCTCGGCTGATCCGTGCGCTCCAGCCAGCCTGCATGCATGGGAGCAGCCTGAGCCCGTCCCCTCCTCCCCCTCCTCCTCCTGTACATTATTACAACAAGGGAGACCCAATCAAGCACGTATCTCGTCGATTCACTCACACACAGACACACGCACACCACCACGCACTCGCGCGCACACGCACGCACGCACACATACTGACTGTGTGACTTGCCCTCAGCGGATTTTTCAAAGCGCTCTCGGACAAAATATCGTAGCCGTGCCAGGCAGGGCAGCGTGTGGGCGACCAGTCCCGGTCGTCACCTCCTCCTCTTCCTCCTTCTCCTCTTTTCGCCTCCGCTGTCGGTCCTGAGAATAACAAACTGAAAAAGCTGCATGTGGCTCTTTTTTTTCCGCTCGCCGCCAACAGGACTTGCCAGAGGCGAATGGATTGTATGAGATGGTTTCAGGCACGTTTCAGCTGGTCCACCTCTTGGCTTTGAATTGTGCGTGATTACCGGGAGGGAAGAAGCGAAAACCTCATGGATAGCGCGGCGGAGGATCAGCCCGTAAAGTAAGTATGCATTTCCGTTCCGATCACGCTGTCAGCCTGCGTGTGCTTGTGAATGATACTGTATATGAGTGTGTTTTTGTTAGGCTACCATGTGTCTGCATGTCTGCTCCTCTCCTCAGAGCAGGCTGCAGTATGACTGACATTACGCACATTTCGAACCAAAAGCCCCCGATTACCGTTTGGAATAGACGGGGCTAGAACGAGGCAGTGAATGACAGAAAGAGAGTGAGAGGGGTAAGAGAGGCAGAGGGAGAGGGGGAGATAGAGAGAGAGAGACGGGGAGAGAGAGACAGGGAGCTACGTGACGCCTATCAGCGGCGGAGAGGTTGAACCGTAGAGGAGGCGCAGGGCTTCAGTTGTGTCAGCTCTTGATGTGTTGTCCCCCTTGTTTGCGGACTTTTGACTGACGCGATCATTTGGTTTTATCCCTTCAAGCTCGCCTGTTGCAGCCTCCGACGCCAAGTAAAGAGGATCACACGGAGTCACACGGCGCTTTTTTAAACCTCCCTTCTCTGTTTTTCTACCGCGGAGCCCCCTCTGTTCCTGCTCCCGCCGCGTCCATCCAAGTCGGAGCGGGCGAGACAGCGACCTACAGAGAGAGCAGCCAACCGGGGGTTGATTTCCCCCCCTCGCTCTCCCTATTTTTTTTTTTTTTTTTTTACTATCTTCGCATCTACTGGCTCTTTCTCCTCTGATTTATTTTTGTGTTCGAAAACTGCACACCCTCCCCTCCTAACACACACACCCACCCCGATCTATGTGGGAGCCCTGAGAGCGCACCCAGGGGGGAAAACTGTGTATCAAAGCTCCGAGGATCCCCCAGGCAACCTCGGTTCACCGGGGCCAGAGAACAACTCCCTGCCGGGCCCCCGAAGCCGACATGCCGCGGAGGAAGCAGCAAGCGCCTCGGCGCGCCGCAGGTAAGCACTGGATTTTGGTTTGCGTGCAAACTCTCTCTCTCTCTCTCTTTTTGTGCCCCCCCCCCTCTCCCCGCCTCCCTCATTCAGTTACTTTTCATTGATATTTCACACACCCACATAGTAACATTTATGTAGCTGCAACATCTTTTGTTGTGTTCTGTAAACTAACAAGGAAAGGCCAACATCCAGCACCGTGCATACATTTTCCTCCACAGCCCTCAAAACAACTTTTCCCTTCTCATACTACATCTATCCTATCATTTCTGTCATAGTCATTTCCAATATAATCAGCTGATGTGCAATATCAACCATACATCTCACCTGTTATACCACCTATTAGGGAAGACCCTTAACTCCAGATATTTAGGTATTATTAGTATTATATTTAAGTACCATCAGTAAACACCACAAAGGTCATTCTTTTTGTGGCCTGTAGAGCAGAAATAATTAGACACTTGGTCAATTAGTCGATCAACAGAAAAATCCCTAGTCCTTTGCTTTTCTAGAAAAAAAAAAAACATTTGCAGTCACTTGTACAAATGCGAGCATTTCTGCTTTCCTCTGCAAATCCTTTCTCAAAGACATTTGAAGATGTCACTTCAGGCTTTGGAAAACTGTGATGGGCATTTTTCACAATTTTCTGACGCTTGACAGACAAATGCACAAATAAAGAAAATAATGTTGATACTGCAAATCATTTTTAGCCTGTATATATATATATATATTTTTTTTTTTTTCATCCACGTAAGAGCGGTTTGGGCATTTACAGGTGTGACCCTACAAAAGTCATCCTATTGCCTCTCAGAAAGGTCACAGGTCAGCCTCGGCGTACCAGTTCATGTAACCTAGAAAAGAGTGTCAGCATGAGAGTGTGAAGCCCTTTTCCCTTCTTCGCTCTCCCTCCTCGCATCGGAGAGCTTCCATAGGTCTCTCTTTTCACTCCTGTACGGCGCCTCCTTCTCTTCCACTTCCTTCTCTGCTTGTAGATATTGACTGTGGAATTAAGGATCTATACTGGAGAGGTTTGGTGGAGTCTCAGGGTCAGCTGACTGTCACAGAGGCCTTTGACGCTCGCTGATTTCTCTCGTGGAAGTCGGATTGACTCTGAAACAACCCAAGAAATCACAGGAAGTGAACTCTTCTAGACGCGTTTGTCTCACACGATCAGCATCTTTCTCTTGATTTTTGTTCCCGTTCTCATTAAGACATTACTTTAATATCCCCAGTGCAGTGCCGGTTTGATTGCCCACCAGTGATACTGTTACACCATCATGTTGCTGCAATATTCTCTACGGGAATTTGGAATGTTTTGATACACAATATTGGGTTCTAATGACCTTATTGTATTTTCTATCCCCCATCACAAGTATATTTCGACAATATTCACATAAAAGCGATTCTTACAGTTTGCTCTTACTCATTGCTGTGTATTCCTTTGGGACTTTAATATAGTAACCTCTCTGAAAATTTTCTTGGAGATTTACCATCCTTGTTTTTCATCAGGGCTCGGCCTGTTTTCTTTCTCTCCTTCCCTTCAGTTTCTGGGAAAGACTTTTTTCCTTCTAATCTAAAGATTATTTCACAGCCCAGGGAGGGAGTGTATACTGGAAGAGAGCTTTAATGGACAATTGCCATCTTTGATTTGACGCCTGATTGATCACCTGTCATCTGGCCGAGCCTTTGATCTGTTCATTCCCGATAAGTGTCAATAAATCACCCCTCGCCTCTCCCCTCCCCTCCATCCCTCTCGCCCGCCCTCCCTCGCTCACTCTGCTATAGCAGATGAGGGCCTGCTGAAGTCACGTCTGGCCTCACAAACTTCTCGCCATTAACGCCACCGTTTAATTGCATGTGTATCTCTTTTTTTCTTTTCCCCACTTGTTTCCCGCCCCCCCAGCCTCAGACTGGATGAAGTACTGAACATCAGCTTTTATTTCATGCTCCCATTAAAGTGGAGGGAGAGTTTTGATGTTCTCATCAGATCATTTAGGAGACTAATAATTTGTGTTTTTTGCAAATTGTGAGATTTTGAGTCAATTAAACAAATATGACCCATTATTTTTTTGTAGCTCTTGCTTCGTAGGAACGTGGCAAATTACCATTTGTATTTATTATAGTGAATTATGATTTATGCGTGACCTTTAGCATTTTATTGTAAGCCGTTTTTACCTTAGCAAGCTCGTGTTTGCAACTTTCCTTCCCTCTTAAGGAAGTTCTCCAAAATTGCCACCAGCCTAACTGTGCACATTCTAACACACATAATTACATATGTGCAGCGGTGCATGCACAGTAGACATGCTGCAGTGACTTTATAGTACATATAAACCAGCATGCAATGCTTCTCGCACACACACGCGCACATGGAGTGGTATGAAAAATGTAACTATTAGCCTAATCGTGAGGCGGAAGACTGGTTTGCTCCATCAGAAGGGCCCGTCAGAGAGACTTTGTTTCATATTTGATTTAATTGTCTGCCCTCTGACAGCCACATTCATCAATGGCCCTAATGGTCAATCAGAGGCTGGCACAGAGAGGGAGAGAGTCTTATGTATTCTCAGCCCAGGGCCTTACTTGATCAAAATGTTTTAGCCCTAATGGACACAATGGGTGGGGGCAAAGGAATGGGGTGGACGGACGGATAGATGGATAGATGGATGGATGGATGGATGGATGCATAGTGGGATGACTGAGAGCCTTTTTATTCCGCCGGAATGAGCGAGTGAGTGTGCCGGCAGTGAGAGCGGCAGAGAAAATGAGGCATTTATTTCTTTGATGAGCGGACGAGAACAAACATGAGGCAGGCGAAGGAGGAGTTTCATTTTAGACTATTGGCAGCTTCCTATTTTTTACCCTTCACTCCTCCTCCTCCTCCTCCCCTCATCTCCTGCTCCCTCCCTCCCTCCTTTGCTCACAGCTGCAAGTTATAAGGTTGAGGAGAACTGCATGGCACACAAAGAGTGATGACAAATTGATTGCGCTGTAGTGATGGCAAGAGTTATGGGAGGATGGCAAATGATAGGCCTTGATTAGGAAAACTGGGGGGAGGTAGTGGGGGGGAGGGCAGAGTACCCCCAACCTTGAGTTGTTTTATTTTTTTTGTTTTTTCTCTTTTTTTCCTTTCTCTTTTTCCTCTCTTTTATGTCATGCTGATTCGGCCTCTCTGTTCCGCACCTCGAAAGTGAAGCACGGTATATCACAGTGAGTTTCAGCGACTCATTCAACCATCACATTCGTTAAAATGGCATATACTTGTAAATCTGGCTAAAGGTCAGTGTGTTTATTGTAAAGTTCATTTAAATCCGCTGATCTGGAGCCTGTTTTTCGTTGGTTATTACCAAAACAGACCACAGGAACATGGCGTCACAGTCAGCTCCTCTACAGGGCTCTGAGCTTTAAGAAATAACCCTGTTTTTTTTTACAACTATCCCCATCCTTTACACGATCCCACACACTCTTCCTCTTTCTTTTTCAACAAACCTCCCCACCACCACCACCACCACACACACTTTCCACCCCAGCGACGGAGCGCACTCAGCTGTCTAAAAGGAGGAGTTGTTTTGCCAGCTTCATTAGCGTTCT